GAGTTGGGGACCCAGCGCCAGGGGCAGGGCTGGGAGGGATCCAGACCCGTGCTCACGCTTCCCCTCGGCCCTTCCCGCGCCCGTTCAGCTCCACCGGCACAGGGGGAAAGGGCCCAAGCTCTGCGGAGGGGTTAAACCAGCATCCGACGGTGGAAGCTCCACCGGGAGCTCTTCATCCCGGTTCTCCGCTGGCTGAGGTGGTGTTGCAGCCGGGGGGGTCGGCCGGGGCCGGGGGACGCGCGGAAAAAAAAAGGGAATGTTTCCTCTTCCCAAGCAGCTCCATGGTGGGGAGGAGGTCGGAGCACAGGCACGATGGCAGGAGCACCTTTGGCTTATCCCAGTGTGGTTTGACACCGCTTGGAACATCTTTGGCTCATCCCGACGTGGATTTCCCTCCCCAGAGCATCGTTTTGAGGAGGTGCCACATGGATCATCTCTGCTTGAGGCCGTGAAATCCCCTTCCCACAGTGCTGACAACCCCACAGCCAAATTCCCTGCGGATCCCAGCACCGGATCCTGACAAAAACTCCTTGGATCCTGACAGAGCCCCTCAACGCAGGATTTGCTGGAGCCAAACAGGAAGAGCTCCCCAGGGAATGCATCCTTTGCTCATTCTGGCTTTGGGATGGAGGGAAAAAAGCCACACTTCTCCTAAATGAGCTTGGTAATGCCAAGCAGGAGTGAGGAAGGAATCATCCAGGATCCTGGCTGAGCGCTGGGAGCTTCCCAGAGCCTCCCTGAATTCCTTTTGCCTTGAAATCCGGAGTTCTCTTCATGTCTTTCCTTCGTGGCTCTGATGTGGTTTGCATGTAGATGGTGTTTGTGCCACCTTGGTTGTGAGCTGGGATGGAATGGGAAAGACCGGCACCATCCTACTGTGATCCAGCTCCCATGTGAGGAAGAAGGAATCACATGGAAAACCCACGGAGCTGGAATCTGCCTGGTTGGAGCAAGCTGGACCCTGTGAGCTTGGGTGTGAACTGGTTTGGAAGGGATAAAATAGGCACAACCTGTGTTGTGGCTTTGCTTTGCTGGGCAAGGGCCAAAAGAGCATGTGGAAGGGGCCAAAAAGGACATGTGCAGGGGCCAAAAAAGGGGGTGGAAGGGCCAAAAGAGGATGTGCAGGGCAAAAAGAGGATGTGTAGGGACCAGTAGAGCACGTGGAAGGGCCAAAAGAGCACGTGGAGGGGCAGAAAGAACAGTGGAGGGTCTGAAAGAGGACGTGGAAGTGCCAAAAGAGCATGTGGAAGGAGAAGAAAAGCACGTGGAAGGGCCAAAAGAGAATATGTGGGGGCAAAAAGGGCATGTGGAGGGGCTAAAGAGCACATGCAGAGGCAAAAGAGCATGTGAGGGGGCTAAAGAGCACATGCAGAGGCAAAAGAGCATGTGGAGGGGCAAAAGAGGACATGGAGGGGCCAAAAGAGCACGTGGAGGGGTAAAAAGAGCACGTGGAAGGGCCAAAAGAGCACATGGAAGAGGCAAAAGGAGGATGTGTGGGGGCAAAAAGAACCGTGCAGGGGCAAAAGAGCACATGGAGGAACCAAAAGGACCCGTGGAAGGGCCAAGAGGACACATGGAAGAGCCAAGAGGACACATGGAGGGGCCAAAAGGACCCGTGGAAGAGCCAAAAGGACCCGTGGAAGAGCCAAAAGGACCCGTGGAAGAGCCAAAAGGACCCGTGGAAGAGCCAAAAGGACCCGTGGAAGAGCCAAAAGGACCCGTGGAAGAGCCAAAAGGACCCGTGGAAGAGCCAAAAGGACCCGTGGAAGAGCCAAAAGGACCCGTGGAAGAGCCAAAAGGACCCGTGGAAGAGCCAAAAGGACCCGTGGAAGAGCCAAAAGGACCCGTGGAAGAGCCAAAAGGACCCGTGGAAGAGCCAAAAGGACCCGTGGAAGAGCCAAAAGGACCCGTGGAAGAGCCAAAAGGACCCGTGGAAGAGCCAAAAGGACCCGTGGAAGAGCCAAAAGGACCCGTGGAAGAGCCAAAAGGACCTCCATGGAAGAGCCAAGAGGACCCATGGAAGGGCCAAAAGGACCCGTGGCTGCAGCCGGCTCAACTCGAGCGCACTTGGAGCTTGCTGGACCCCCCCCACTTGGCCATGACCCACCCCAGAGGCACAAGATGAGTGTTGTCCTCTTGTTCCTTGGTGCTGCTCCACCACACGCTGCTCCTGGGGCTGAAGACCCGCACGTCGGGTTGAACCCACACGAGCAGAGCCCGCCTGAAGCCAGGGACCCACATGCTTGGCCACGACCCACCATGGGGGAGAAGGACCCAGCGCTCTAAAGAACCCCCATAAAGGGGGATCAAAGACACAGCCAAAGTCTTCCTCAAGCTCAAGGTTTCCTCTGGCTCAAGCCCAGAGGAACCCGGGGCAGAAGCTCCTCCCGGAGCCGTTTGGCCTTGGGGAAAGGCCCCTTTTCCTCCCAGTTTCCAGGGCAGGGAGCAATTGTCCCCACTTAACCGGTTTAGCATTTAAATTGTCCCGATTCTGCTCCGCCTTTGCATGGCTCTGGGGTGATGGGCTGGGGGAAGGGATTCCACAGTCTGGCTCCCACCCTGGAAGTGAGCAGATCTTGGGAAGCGAGCTTGGGAAGCAAAGGGAGCTTGGGAAGAGGCTTCCGAGACATCCCGGTGAGTGCTCAAGTCTTTTTAGGGGGGGGGGGGAGGAATCTCCTTGTTTTTCCCCATCCTGGTGAGCTTCAACCCCCAAAGTGGGTTTTTGGGAAGGAAGGTGGCACAGCAGAGGGATGCAGCTGTATTTTGGGAAGAATCAGAGGGAAAACTTGAGTTAATCCATGTTTTACGGAGCAAGGTGGGGATGTGACACTGGTGTCCCATCCTCCCATCCCCCCCAGTCTGTGCTGGGTTGTGTGTGGTTCCATTTGGGGTTGTGGTGGGTGATGCTGAGCTGGATTCCAGGGATTTGGTGTCATTCCCAGCGTGGGGAATTTGTCTCTGCTGCGGTGTGATGTGTTGTGGTGAGCAAAGGTTGGGACACAGCGCGGTGCCGAAGGGATGTGGCAGGTCAGGTCGGCGCTGGGGGAAGGAGGTGGCAGCTCCCAGTGGGATTCTCCCTATGGTTTCCATCCTGGAGTCAGCTCAGATCAAACCCACAGCCCCCAGAAATGCAGCTTTTAAAGATAAACCCATTTTGGGGTCTTTTTCACCCATTCTCACCCTGGCTTGGGAATGTGCCAGGATCTCCCTTTGGATTGAGATGCGGCTGCGATTAAGAAGGAGAAGGGAAAACTCTGTGATGGCTTTTCCCCCCCTGGATCCCAGGTTCTCCTGCCTGTCCCCCAGTACCTTTTCGTGCAGTGGGATGACACGTTTTGGGATGATTCCTTGCTGTTTGTTGGGAATGTTGGTGCCATGCTGGAACAACGCAATGTGGAAGCTTCTCCAATGCTCCTTGTTGGCACCATGGATGGCTGCTGGTGGGAGAAGTGGTAAAATGGGAATGCTCTGTGTGTCTGACTGGATTTAAGCTGGATGGTGGTTAAAGATGAGGCCATGATCCATAAGCCAGTGCAGGGAGAGCAGGTGGCTTCATCCCAGTGGAGCATCCCTGATCCCAGCAAACCCCTGAACATCCACAAACTGGGCTTCGCTTCCCAAAACCCTCCCATGGACATGGAGGAAGCATCAATGTGGAGCCAGTTGTGACGGTGAGAGCATCCCACCAGCATTGGCTGCCAAGTTGGGATGCTTCCTAAGGAATATCCATACATCCAAAGCCAGCTGGAGCACCCGATCCTCACGGATGAAAGCCACTGACGCGTGGAGCCCACATAGGAATGAACTGAATTGATTTTCCCTTTTCCCTTCTAATGGGCAAACTCAACCCGCATTCCCTGGGGAAGCGGCAGGATTCCAGATTGGCATTTCGGGATGGCTGGAGGGTGTTGGTTGGGGTTTGCTCCATCCCTTCTCCTCCCTCAGCCCCCGGGGCGGGAAAACCTCTTGCGCCAGCTCGGAATAATTCCCTCTTCATTTGCATTCCTTACCTTGAAGGTATTTATAGGCTCTTCTCCAGGGTAAATTTAGCTCCTTCCTCTCCTCCCGTGTGCCTTTATCCTCCCATGGAGCTGATAAGCCCTTTAGTGCCTCTTTCCTCCTGGTTTTCCTTTCTCTGCCCAGATCTGGATTCAATCCATGCTACAGAGAGCATGATCCTGAGCTGATCCTTTTATTTCTCCCAGTGATTCCACTTTATACCCTTTAACAGCAGGATCTGGCCGTGGAAGGTGTTTTTGGGGGTGATGGGTTGGGTTTGGGGACATCCACACTCGAGTGGTCAGCCCTTGGGAGCCCCTTTGAGGGGTTCCCAAGTCCTTTGAGGGGTCCCCAAATCCTTCAGGGTTCCCCCGTTATGAAGCCACCCATCCGCTTGGATTCATCCAGGGGGAAGGATGCAGCACAGCCCCCCCATATCCCCCCCCACATCGTGGGTTTGGGGGTAGCTGGTGGCAGAGCAGAGCTCCTATGGTGCCAACCTGTGGCTTTCCCATCATGGGATGGAATTCTGGGGGGATAAAGGAATGGTTTGAGGGTGACTGGTGGGGTTTGGGGAAGTGCATGGCAGGGAATGGTGGGGATGAGAGCAAATTAGGGTGCAGGGCTGGGGCGGGGGGGAAGCTTCATATTGGGGTCCATCAACTCCAGCAGGGACCCAGCACCAAGGGGCAAATGATGGCACCCGATGTCTCTCCTGCTTCTGGCCACCAAGAGCTTCGGTGACCACCGCAAGGCCTCGAGGCCCACAACGGCCACTGCTTCTCGTCCAGCTCATCAGAATCCAGCTTCTCACGTCCTCCTCCTGTGCTTCCTTCCAGGTCTGGCTGCAGGTCCCCGGCCATCGGCGTTCCCGTGTGCCGGCGCAGGACTTTTATCCGAGTGGCCCAGCACAATCGGCGAGGGATGGAGAAAGCTGTCCCGAGCTTCTCAGAGCGCCAAGGGGATGGAGGCAGAGCCCTGTTGATGCCACCAGAGCCAACCAACGAGTCTTTTCCAGCCCTGGAGTGTCCCCAAGGGGATGAGCGAAGAGGAGCTTTCCTTCAGGATGCAAAGAAAGCCCTGGAGAACCCGGCGTTAGCTGGGAGCTCGCTGGAAACGGAGGCAGAGCTTGAGGAAGATGCTTTCTATGCTGAGGATGATCTGGAGACCATGAGCAGGGAGGGGAAGGGACCCTCCAGCATTGAGCTGTGCCCGTTGCAAGAGGAACCTGACTTCTTCTCATCACTGGCCCGTCAAGAGCCCGATGTCGCCCTGGAGGCACATGATGTTGCTGGTGAGTCCCTGGTTGCTGCCATTGGGGTGGCTTTTGGGGATGGGGATGAGACCAATGGGATGAGGTTCAAACAGGCTCAGTGCTGGGTCCTGCACGTGGATCCACGCCAATCCCATGGAATGCTCCAGGCTGGGGGAAGTGTGGCTGGAAACAGCTCACGGAGAAGGAGCTGAGGGTGCTGGTTGATGGAGCTGCACATGAGCTTGTAGTCAAGGTGGCCCCCAGCACCCTGGCCTGGAGCAGCACCAGGGTGGCAGCAGGGCCAGGGCAGGGACTGTCCCCCTGTGCTGGGCACTGGTGAGGCTCAGGGGGGACCTCATCGCTTTCTGCATTAGGATCTGCAGTTGTTACTGGTGTCCACTTGGGTGTTCAGATGTTGACTTTAGCTCTTTGGATGGAGCTGGTCTGGCTAATTCCTGATCTACTGAACGCAGTTGCTCCACGTTGTCCGTAGATCTCTGATTGTCCAGTGGCTGTAGAGGATCAGCCTCTCCTGCCTCAGCTTCTCCATCAACCCAACGCCAAGTGCTGGCCAGGTGCCACCACCCCAAGCCTTACCTGAACCCTTCCATGTATTTGCTCTCCTGTCCTTCCTCATCCCTGCTGGGAATGAGGTGGATGGTGGCCATGGATCCCACCAGTGGCCTCATTACTTGTCCCCTGGCTGATGGGTCATTTGGAGCCTCCACCACCATGATTGACTTCAAACCTTATCTGCTGGTGCTTGGTGGCTCCACAGAACCACAAGGTGGGTGTGGAAGGACCATGTTGCATGTGGGAAATTTCCCAGCTCTTTGTTTCTTCACTGTGGTCGATGGGTGGAAAATTCACTCCAGGGCATGAACACAAGTGTTTCAAGATGGTGCTTAAAGAAGGAGGGAGGAGGCACCCCAAAACCAGTGAGGGCTGCGTTACGAGGTGGAGAACGTCCCCATGTGGGTGTCCAACCTGGCTCTGGGTGGGTGGCAGAGCTCAGTTGGGGTTCTTGGGTGCTTCAGGTGGACCCAGCTCTGCTCATGGGCTGCAGACCCCCATCGCTTTCTCCCAGCTGGAGAAACCCAGGTGAAATGGTCCAAAATGCCCCCAAATGGAGGCACACCAGGCTAAGGGCCTTATGGGGTGGGAAGACCCCACACAGAAGCTTGTGGTGTCACCAGCTTCAAGGCTGTGGGGCTCTTCTGATGTTCTTTGGTGGCTCTGTTCTGCCCCCCTGGGCTTTGAGCTGATCAGGAGGAAGAAACTCCCATCCCTGGTGGTGGCACTTGAACCCTCCCCAGCACCACGAGTGATATGGGCTGGTGGAGAACCCTCCCCATGGCCTTTTGGTGGCCTCTTTCCCCTTCCTTGCTCCTTGGGGGGATGTTTTTGGCTGTTCCTTGGATGTTTTTGGGGCTGCTCTAACACAACAGGGCCTCTTAGAACCTGTTGTGATAACTCAGGGTTGTGCCAACACCAACAGGGTCTGAGATGCTCCAACCTTCACCCCATCGCTATATGGGGCTCACCCCTGTCCCCCCATGGGGTGTTTGGGGGTGCTGCTTCCCTGTGGGACCCACAGGGTGGGATCTGGATGGTGGAGCCTTTATCTCCATGCTCCTGGTCCCTCCTTGTCCTTATCAGCCCAGCCCGGAGGGATTTCCTCCCATATCAGCCCAGGAATCAGGAGCCGTTGGAGCTGTGCTCAGAGCCCATCACATGTTGTGCTTTCACTTGGTGCTTCCTCCCCCCCTACCCGCATGGCCTGGGGCTGCCCAGGCAGAAGCTGGTCCCCTCGAGGTGGCCCCATGTCCCCAGGGGTGATGGAGCAGGAGGAGGTATCGCTGGAGGTGAGGGGAGGTCCTGGAGGAGGGTTTGTCATCATGGAAGTGGGAATGGGGAGGTTGAGGTTGTGGTTTGGGCTGCGACGTGGGATGGATGGTGCCATGAGGTCCCTGATGTGGGGACATGTTGCTTTGGGGTCACTGTGGCAGTTGGGGGGTGCCATGAGGTCCCTGATGTGGGGACATGTTGCTTTGGGGTGGCTGTGGCGGGTGGGGGGTGTCAGAAGGTCCCTGATGTGGGGACATGTTGCTTTGGGGTTGTTGTGGGGTGTCCCAAGGTCCCCAGTGTGAGGACCTCCTGCTCTGGATCAGGAGTGGTGTCCCCAAGGCCCCTTCTGTGTGGACACAGCCCTGGAGATGCTGTGATGCCATGAGGTCCCTGGTGCTGTGGGGCTGCTGTGACAGTGGGGGTGCCACCACAGGGTCCCCACTGCTGTGCTCTGTGGGTGCCAGAGCCCTATGGCACAGCACGTTGGTGCCACAGCTCGTGACCCCACCAGTGCCCCGTATCGAGGAGGACACTTGAATGAAGGCAAAACTTGTGTTGGTTTAATCCAAGATGTAGAAGAAGGAGCTTTTGTGGGTCTGATGTGAGGTTCTGGACCTCAAACCTGGGATTTGTTGGGTGTTTGATGGGGTTTTGGTGGTGTTTGATGAGGTTTGATGGGGTTTTGGTGGGGTTTGATGAGGTTTGATGGGGTTTTGGTGGGGTTTGATGAGGTTTGATGGGGTTTTTGTGGGGTTTGGTGAGGTTTGATGGGGTTTTGGTGGGGTTTGATGAGGTTTGATGGGGTTTTGGTGGGGTTTGATGAGGTTTGATGGGGTTTTTGTGGGGTTTGATGAGGTTTGATGGGGTTTTTGTGGGGTTTGATGAGGTTTGATGGGGTTTTGGTGGGGTTTGATGAGGTTTGATGGGGTTTTGGTGGGGTTTGATGAGGTTTGATGGGGTTTTGGTGGGGTTTGATAAGATTTGATGGGGGTTTAGTTGGGATTGGGTTTAGGAATGACCCTGGGGGAAGATGTTGGCTTGTCCCACCAGCTCAGCTCTCTCTAGGCCCATGGGGCTGTAGCTTGTAGGTTCTTTCTTCCTGTATCCTCTCCTGGGAGGTAATCCCGAGGTGTGGGATGTGATGGGCACCAGTGCTGTGTGTGTTGGGAAATTGATCCGGTCCATATCTCCAACTTGGGGTGGTTTGGGACCAATCCAGCCTTGTGTTGGCATTAATTTGCCAGTGGGGAACACTGATGCTCAACCACATCCTACCTCTGTGGTGCTGGGAAGAGCCTGGGTTTAGGTTGCTGGGTTTGGGATGGAGCTTGGGATGGCCCCAAACGGGGGTGTTGGGTTTGGGATGGAGCCGGGGGATGGTTCCAAACTGGGGTGTTGGGTTTGGGATGAAGTGTTGCTCTTGCTGATGGCCTCTTGTCCCCAAGCAGGATATGAGTGTTGGGCTTGGTTTGTGTCACCTACTAACAGTGAAGAGGTGGAGAAGGGAGGTGTTGTTTGGGGCTTGCATGAAGGGGCTGTTGATCTCTTAAGCTGTGGTTCCTGAAGAGCCGTTTCTGCTGGTGCTCAGCTTGGTTGAATCCGTGTCTGTCTTGGTCTGAGCTGCCCAAGGACACACCAAAACCCCCCAAGGAACTGGTCCTTCAAGTCTTCTGGTAGATGTTCATGTGGTTCTACAGACCCAAGCCTTAAACTCTCCCTTAACCAAGCCTTCAATCCATTGTCATGGAGCATGTGTGAGGGTCCTGAGGTGCCTGTCCCACCTCTTCCTGCTGGATGTTCCAAAGAACATCTGGATGACCCTTCTTGAGGACTTGGAGATGAGAGGCAGGAGCAAAGACCTGGAGCAGTTGGTTTATGGGAGCCTGGGATATAAACTGAACAGGATGAGGAGGTCAGAGTATCCTCAGCCCTTCCAGTGCTGGGGTTTGTTCTGGGTCTGGGCTTTGGTGGGTGCGGAGACCTCATGGCACCATCCTAGTTTTGTTGGGAAGCATTGGAGTGAGTTTAGGTGCATTTTGGGGTGAAACATGTTCTTGCATGGTGGGTCCCCATGCTGAGGTGCTGCTTTGGTTTGATCTTGGCTTGTGCTTGGAGCCTTTGTCTGGTGAAGCCCATCCCGAGGTGTGTTTGCCAAGTGCTGGGGCACTTTATGGCCCATCTTTGAACCCCATCCAGACCAGATACACAGGTCATGAGACCAGACACCTATTGGAGGTGCAGCTCCTCCTAATCTTGCCTTAACTCTTCAGGACAACCCCTGGTGCCTCCATCCAGTGGCTCTTCCTGCCCTTCCTTACCCAGGTGAGGAGCTGCCCATGAAACCAAGGCAGGTTTCCCCCCCGTCTCCTTCCTTGCTGGAACTGGGCTGAGTTTAAGCTCTTGGCCCCCCTGAACTGGGAGGTTCTGCTCCCATTCCCAGTGACCTTCCTGCCTGCTCACGCTTGGTGGACACTGCCAGGAGAGATGTCATCTTGTTGCCTAGCAAGTAAATAGCTGAAGGCTTGAGGCCAGCACAAGAGGCAGGGCTTGGCTGGAGCTGGGCTGTGGAGTGCACTTGGAAACCTGGAAGTTGGATGGAAAACCCACACATGACATCCCTGTGACAGTGCATCTCTTCCCAAAGAGCCCCTCTGCTCTGCTGACACCCCACTTGGGTGCTGCATCCAGCACTGGGGTCCTCAACATCATGAGGACATGGAGCTGCTGGAGCAAGGCCAGAGGAGGCCACGAGGATGAGCAGGGGCTGCAGCAGCTCCCAAATGGAGCTGGGCTGAGAACATTTGGGCTGGAGAAGAGAAGCTGCGTGGAGAGCTCAGAGCAGCTTCCAGGGGCTGAAGGGGGCTGCAGGGATGTGGAGAAGGACCTTCAGCAGTGACAGGATAAGGGGTGATGGGTTCAGACTGCAACAGGGAAGTTCAGATTGGAGATAAGGAAGTTCTTCCCTGGGAGGGTGCTGGGACACTGGGATGGGTTGAATGGAGAAGCTGTGGCTGCCCCATCCCTGGCAGTGTTCAAGGCCAGGTTGGACACAGGGGCTTGGAGCAACCTGCTCTATGGAAGGTGTCCCTGCCCGTGGCAGGGGTTGGAGCTGGAGGAGCTTTAAGCTCCTTTCCACCCCAACCCATTCCATGACATTGGGGGTCAGTAGCTTTCCAGCCACGCCATGGGGT